TATGAAAGACAGAGAATAAAAGCCAAGTGCTGTCTTACAAGTGTGTGTCAGGAAAGTCAGCAGGTGGAAAACTGGCCTTCTATAACCCTATTAAGAGACTGGCTCACAGAACATGCACAGAGAAGTGTGAAGCTTGGGAGACACAATGTACCTGTCTCCCAGGTACATTCAGGGCTTCAGGGAGAAAAAGAAAAACAAACAAAATCAAAGCATGATATGAAAGCAAGAAAAACACAGCTTTCAGGCAGCCTCCAGAGGAAGAAATGGTGTTTTACTGTAGGCTTCCTCACTCTACTGCAAGACTAGAAGGTGAACTGGCTTAAATAAAAGTTAAAGGCTTAATTTGGGGTTAACTATTTCTGATGCTATCCAATCTAATTTCATTTATATAATCTTAACTGATAATAGAACTGATTACAGTTAAATAATTAAAAGATTATACTTAAATGAAAGGGAAGTCAGATTGTATGTAGGGCTTTGAATGAAAAATCTTAAAAGAGGGTGCCATCTGGAAGTCATGTGACTGTGTCTACCACACTGCCTGACATACAGTAGATGCTCAGTAAATATCTGCCTTCTTATTTTAAAGATGGTGGGTGGGAGCCTCCCCTGGTAGCGCAGCGGCTGAGCGCTGGGCTTCGAAGCTGCCCACAGCCTCTGCAGCGCCGGTTTGATCCCTGGCCACCGGTGAGGGTCCCACATGGCGCGCAGACCTCTCCTGCAGTGTCCGCTGCTCCCCTCAGCAGTGTACTTCGTCTATCTGCCTGTTCTGTTCCCCGCTCTGTTGCTGGTGAATTCGCTCACCCTCCTGTGCGTCTGACTGTACCCAGTGCTTGTATAAATAAATAAATAAATCTTAAAAAAAAAAAAAAAAAAAAAAAGATGGTGGGTGGGGGAGTATAAAGGAGGCATGAAGTTAGAAAGGGCTTAGCATGAGTGAGGAAAATGTCTCTACTCACTGAGGAATTAGTGATAAACCATTTAAGTAAACATGAAACAAAAACATCCTGTTAAAGCACAGAGATTTTAAACTGGTGGCTCTAGACAAGAATAAGTATGTTGCACAGATTTTTTTATCCATACAATAAAGTATGGATTTGTTACAATATTTAAAAACCAGGAGACTTCACAAAAAAGTCTTTTTTTTTTTTTAATTTTTTTTAACCAGAGGCCATTGCAGTATCTGTGGACTGAAACTAAGTCAAAGATTTATTTGGATTTAGATTTAGGTTCTCTAGTTTGTCACTGTCCCCACCATTCCCTATTTTACTTCTAGCCCAATTCACTTGTTTTTGCTACCTGCCTTACTCTGTTGGCATCAAGATGCCATTTGCAATGTGAAGAGATCTTTACTGAGAGTTCAGAAATCTGGGTTCCAATTCTACAATAACAATAGTTAAGCTGCACATTTATATGTCTTAACTTAAATATCTAAACTGAGTCTCTGCTTTCTCATCTATCAGAAGAGGATCTATATAAAATGATCTCTAATAGTTCTATAATTATAATTAATCGACAATGGTGGCAGTAGTGGGGGGGAGATACAAAATTAGGATGAACCTATTTCATACTTTATTCCCTGAGTCAAATTCTTGAAATATTCATTTCATTTTGAGGTAAATGAATTACCTAGTGAACCTAGGATAATCTAAAAAGAAGTACAGGCTCTCTGGCATGATACTTGGGTCCATTTGTATGGAGTGACTAACCTCATTGCAATTAAAGATAGATAGGTCACTTGCTGCCTTTCTTGACCATGTTCATTCCTATTATGGAAATTCTCAGATTCCTCTCTGGGATGGTTACCCAGCCTATGACTAAATGAAGAGTTCCAGAGCACAGAGCCTCTGACTGTGGCTATTCTCAAAGTACACAAGAACAAGATCAAAAATAAAGACTAATATAAGGAAAGGGTAGGTTTTGGAATTTGAAAGCAGCAAAAAGGACACTGTCTGAACTAGTCAAAGTATGCAAGTCAGTCCTAAAGATCATACTGTAAACCACAACAGCTGCTGCTTTAACCCTGCATGTGGAACGTTAGCATCTATCAATCAACCCTGAGAAACATGCTCTAGGAATGAGACAAGTTTAGCTCCCATGCAACACTAGAAAGCTGGAAATTCACTAGATTAGTTTCATCTTCCCAAAGCTCCTAGAACCTGAGCAGGAAAAATGGTACTTATCAATCCTGCTTTGCAGTTGAGAAACTTAGGCTCAGAAAGCTAAAAACCACACGGTAACAAAGTTCTCAGTATTTGCTTCGGCAAATATTTATTATATGTTCTCACTGTGCACTAGGCATTGGAGACAAGACAACAATGGATTAGCCACATTTCTTAGATCCCAAAGGAAGAATAAAACAGTCAAAACTAAATTTCTGTACTTCCTTTTCCCTAGGCTATATGGCTGTGATAATCTATATGGGTAACATGAACAGACTCTAAAAACATTAATTCTGAAACTGGTCCAAAGTTAGATTCAATAACTCTGTATCCCCCTCCTTCCAAGGCAAACTACTTATCTCAACTATAAGACAATCTACTTTGTCAGGATACAGTACCCATAAATTCTTCCCATAAGACACAAGTCACAAAAAAAAAAATTGTCAAATTTATATAGAGTAAAATCAAAAACCATTCGAAATTTTATATATTATTATATTTTATATATAATAATTTTATATATAATCATTATATATAACCCAAAAGACAAAACCAACATACATACTCAAGACCACCACAAAATGCCTTGTTGTGGTTTTGCCTATGGCCATATCTAGGCAAATGGGTAATTACAATCAATCAAAGTCATAGGTTCTTAACCAGAGACAATCCCCTCCCTTCCTGAATACCTGGCAATGTCTGGAAAAATTTTTGGTTGTCTGGGGGACAAATGTAGAGGAAATAATATTGGCATCTAGTGGGTAGAGGCCAAGGATGAGGCTGACCATCCTATAATGCACAAGGCAGCCCCAGATAACAAAGGAGAAAGAATTATATGACCAAAATGTTAATAGTGCTGAGGCTAAAAAACCCATGGTGTAGGTGCTCTACATATTGGCTAGAGGCCTCCATTCTGGGTCTTTAAAAAGGATTTAATGCAGATAAGGTCTGGCTGCTAATATAGGAAATGAAAGAAAACACACTCTCCATTCTGCTTTACCTCTTTCACCTTTCCCTCAGTTCCTGTCATTCTGGCATTAATAAGCCATTACATTTAATAACTGTTCTTTATTGTTCAATGAAAGGTGGAAAATCAACAAAAGCAAGGAAGAAAGGAAAAATAAGAGTGAGGGAAGAGCTCAACTGTCATTTCCACAGCTCATAGATTAACTTTCATTTCATAACAGACAATTACCTACTATGAATCTGATCATCTCTAAAAACTGCTTCTTCCCACCAAAAAACAAATTGGCTGAAAAAAATGAATTCATGGGCCTTCCCGGTGGCGCAGTGGTTGAGCGCTGGGTTGCGAAGCTGCCCGCGGCCTCTGCGGCGCCGGTTCGATCCCCGGCTGCTCCCCGGCCACCAGAGGAGGGTCCCACATGGCGCGCAGACCTCTCCTGCCGCCCGCTGCTCCCCTCAGCAGTGTACTTCGGTCCTTCTGCCTGCTCTGCTCCCCGCTCTGGCTCTGGTGAATTCTCTCACCCTCCCGCACTTCTGACTGTACCCAGTGCATGTATAAACAAAAACAAACAAACAAACAAATAAATAAATAAAACATGCCTCTATAAAAAAAAAAAATGAATTCATTCAGACCCTCTGCCCTCTCCAGAAACATCACTTATATAATTGAGGCCACCTAGTGGTTTCCATTGTGGATTGCAGCTAGCAGGTCCTAAGACTCAATTTGAATATAAATTCTGAATTTTGGTATCCTCTATTTACAAAAAAAAAAAAAAATCCTGGCCAGGAAAACTTTAAAGATTATATCAGCTTATGTAATATACAATTCAACAAGCATTTATTGTGTTTCTACTACATATACTAACCATTAAGCTATGATAAGCGGAAGTCTCTCGTACCCTAATCCAGGGGAAAATATCCTAGTTTCTGTCTTCATAAAGCAGGTCTTCACAGGTTGTCAAAGACCTGTTGTGTTTATGGCTCATGTCCACAAATAACTTTAAAGAGGTGGCGTGCAACATGAGAGTTAGCTATCAAAATTTGATATAGTTGATATACTCAAAGAGAGCACTAAATATTAATAAGAGATGAAGGTTTCTTTATTTCTAATCTAGATATGAAGGAGTAATAACATTTATTGTGTATAAGAAGAAAAAATTTTACTAATTTGATCAATCTTTCCTCATACTTGTAAAGGCAAATGTAAAACTTAGCTTGACTACTCCAAATAGTCCAATGGCTGACTCACTGACACTCAGTGAAATTTTGTGGTTAAAACAGGCAAGTACAAAATGCCGACTATGATTTTAAACTATCAGCTTTAAGTCAACATCAGTATCTCAATTCCCAGTGAGTCTGTGAAGAGACTGGAAACTCATAGATTGGTTGATACCAGCAATAAAAAGAAAGAGTCAGCATCTGGCTGTCTCTCAAACAAAGCTGCTCAGCCCACTCCCTCCCAGAAAATGCCATCCCAAAGGGCCATTTAGGATATATGTCCCTTGGATGGTATTTAGGGTGTTTCATTCATCACTGTGTTTTGTTGGAAAAAAAATCTCTCTCACTGACAGGCTAGTTTTCCACTGACTGCCTCCTTTGTTTGGAAATGACACATTCTTTGAATCTTAAAATCTGTTCACAAACATGGGTAGAGCCAGGTTGCTCAGAACTGATTTGTAACCAGTCTTGATTTATGGTATGTGCCTCATATTACCCAAAGGTAGCTATGATAAAGAAGCTATTAAACCAGAACATCCACAGACACTTTATACTCAATTGTTTCAAGCTGACATGATGCTACAGAGAAATAAAGACCAGTATAGAATACAAGAGAAAAGCGAAAGTGTGGGATGCAGTTGGCAGAGGGCGCTTTACCTGGTCACGATCTCCTGCAAAACAGCAGCTTTTCATGGTGCAAGAGTTGAAGTAACCCTGATTGTCAAACTGGAACACAGGCAGACGGGAGTGGATATCATAGAGCACAGGGGGCAGACGACGCCTCAGGGCCAGGAGCTGGGTCCCGTTGCTGTTGAATCGCACACTCATGGCACTTTGGAGGGACAGGTTGCCACCATAGCGCAGGAGAGAACTGAAAGACAGAAAGCACACAGATTAGCATGAGGCTGGACCAAAGTCTGTAAAACACAAGGCATTTATTTCTTCTCAACATGTGCGCAGGCGCGCCTATCAGGCTTGCACATTGAATTCTGGCAGAAAGGTATTTTGATAGTGTGCTACAAGGTAACAATGAGGACAGAAATGGCTTTGGTTAATATTTATAATTCATTTATGTACCTTCACTAGGGAGTTGTATGTCCTGGTTCACCTAGTATTTTTCCGTAGTTTCATAATATTCATAACACTTTTTTTATTATCACACAGTATGGTTCCAAAATATTTCTTTCCATGACTCAGAAGATACTTTCAGATTTATAGTGAATAAGAATGGCCACGAACAGTAACAAATATATAGTGCTAATTAACAGAGCATGTCTGTATGTGTTCTATCTTTTAAGTAGTCAGTATCCTAGATTATCTGGACACTATTTTATGATGAAGGGATGGCTGCTCACTGCCAGTATCACAAGCAAATTGTCTGTCTTTAATTCTTAGAGCACTGAAATAGCGACAGGAAAGTGAGATTAAGCATATGTATTGGGGATGCTGAAGAAATGAGTGCCACATCAGAGCTATTCACTCACTCTGCCTCACACAGAAACGTGTTATGAAAAGGAAGAGTTCTGGTAGCTTTAGGGGGAAAAAAGTCTATAAGTGCTAGGGAATCCCAGTGCTGGAAAGGGTCTCAAGATACCTAAATTCAATCAGCCTAGCAAATTTGAAGCATTTTTAATAAAGAAGTTTTACCAAATGAAAACTTAAAGGGCTACATGCTACCACAAGAGACATAATATTGAATGGAGATAACACATTTGGGGGTGGGTAGGGCCAAGAGTGATGAGGAAGATAAGGGAATAAAAAAGCAAATATCTAATGGGAAAAGGAGGCCCTGAAAGGACATGTCCAGGAAAAGGGGAGGTTCCAGGGCATGAGCAGAGCAGCGAGGAGAAAAAGCTGGAGAGGAGACTGAAGAAGGAAGGAAGCAGGATGGAGAGCAATAAGGAGACCTGGAGAAGGCATGTGGAGCAGAAAGACATGTGAAGAAACTGTGCTTGCCTTTTGGTCCTGGACTGATTGAAAGAGATGTAGGTGAGAGACCCACGGGGAGGTTAACAATGGCCGCTTTTACCTTGATTTTGATTTTGTTCTTTTCCTCCCAGACTTGTCTGACTGTTTCTGACCCTTTTCTATGGGTCCCTGCCAGAAGGTACTTTTTTTTTAAAAGATTTATTTATTTATTTATTTATTTATTTATTTATTTATTTATTTATTTATTTATTTATACAAGCACTGGGTACAGTCAGAGGCACGTGAGGGTGAGAGAATTCACCAGAGCTAGAGTGGGGTGCAGAGCAGGCAGACTGACGAAATACACTGCTGAGGGGAGCAGCCGGCGGCAGGAGAGGTCTGCGCGCCATGTGGGACACTCACCGGGGGCCGGGGATCGAACAAGCGCTGCAGGGGCTGCAGTCAGCTTGGCAACCCAGTACTCAACCGCTGCGCCACCGGGGAGGCCCCAAAAGGTACTTTAGACTCGTGGCAGGCTTTCAGGCCTAGCTCTGTGCCAATCCTGTTTGGGTGGACTTTTACCCACGAGGAGATGGGTAACTGTGGGTGCTTGATTGAGAAATTATGTTTTAGAAACTTTGTTTTTTTTCTGTATTTTCACTAATTGTATTAAAGTTACTTTCCATTAAAGGTCTTATGTTTTGTCTTGATGCAGGGGATGGCAGAACCTATTACAGTGGGCAGGTTAGGGGGTTCTGGGGTGCCCCTCTCCCTGCCTTATAACAAGTCCTGTGTCCCGCAAAGCAGTCTTCTCACCAGCAGGAGGAACGCTCTGGTACTGCAACTATGTGTGGAAACAAGACTTCAGCAAAATAGAATTTAATCCCCTCATGATTAAAATGGAAGGAAAGAAAGAAGAGACTTAGAAAACAGTCACTAGAATGCCAAGAATCAAGGAAAAAACCTAGTACTCCTGCGGGCCCCAAATGACAATCCCTGTAGAGAACTATGTTCTTATAATGGTCCTAAACACAAGCCACGGTCACTCACACGCAGGAAATAAATGACGGTGCTATTTGAGCCCAGGCATTTCCTTTACAGAGTGCCCTAGCTGTCACAGGCATTATCTAAACATTAAGCTCAAAAGCAACAAAAGACTTTCAACTCATGATCAGTATGGAGTGTGCAAATAAACTAGCATCTATAGAACTGAAGAGGAATAGAGGAGGGTGAAAACAAGACTCAATAAAAAGACACATAGCCAGTCCCACCAGCCATAGCAGCAGGGATTTGCATCAGCTCAGGCATCCCTGATAGAAAAGCAAGGGCCTCTGGCAAAAGCCCTTCTCATCTGTTAACAGGATCTTCCTCTGCTGATCCTAGTCAGGCCTATAGTACTCTGCCCATCTCCACCAAAGCTTCTTGACCTAAGTTGGCAATCTGATCATTCTAAAAAGGTCTATTTGTGAGCTCCAAGAGAATAACTAATTTTTCTCTTGACTATGCTTCAGGGCAGAAAACTCCTATGTCTCACAGAGAGGGTATGTATATCAGAATCTTGCTCCTAGAATCCTTAGGGTTGCAATCTAAAGAGCAAGTTACTAACACTGAATATTTGGAGCTTGGGTGCAAAATTCATTTCCTTCCAGAGATATGGAACAGCACCAGAAATCCAGAGTGTGACCTATGTTAACTAATTTCTCAGCAGGACTTCTATAACTGTCTACTCCTGATAGGGACAGTTGGGCTGATCTAGCTCATAAGGAAGAAAAAGGCTTAGAAGCAATTTGTCTTTATAGTCAAGATAAAAAGATTATGTCAGAGATTCTGTGGTTTTTGGTTCCAAGTGCAGTGTGCATGAGAAAACATCTAGGACTCTGTTATAAAATGTAGGTTCTCAGGCTCAATCCCCAGCTATCTAATTCAATCTTGGCAGTGGGTCTATGAATTTGAATTTAACAAGCAACTCCTGTTCGTTCTGATGCAAGTGACTTTCAAACCACAATTTGAGAAACAAGACTACATTTTGGAATTTGGGAGACAGAGTGGGGGTGGGTAGAAAAGGTGAAGAGAAGATTACTAGAGGCTCAATGAAAAGCCAACCACATCACATAGCACTTTTTACTGCTCTGTGTCTACTAGCCGAAAGGACTTCTAAATCCTTTTAAGATCAGAGTTCCTAGACTCTATCAACAACTTCTGAAATATTTTTGTCTTCTCTTCTGCAACTTCCCAGAAGGGGAAGTTTCTAACTTCCTCTTAGGGAGCTGAGGATATCTATATACAACAAGAATGATTCAATCTTGACTTGCTTTGTGGACTCTGATCTTGGCAGTAAAGATGTCACTATTTTTACCCCTCCTGAGAAATAGCCACCATTACAAACCCCAATGAGATGAAAGAGTATTTTGAAAGGCTCACCCAAAGAAATACTCAATTGGACTTCTTCATTGGTCTGGCAAAGTAAAATAACAAATTTTTCTTAAGTACTTGTTTAAGGCCAAGGTTTTGAAACAAAAGCAAAACAGGGTGAACCTGTTTTCAGGGAAAGTGTATCATGTCCAGCACAAGAAAGGGTATCAATAAATATTCCAACATCAGAGTCCATGAACCTAGATTTCCATAAGTCCATGATTAAATAATTCATTTGTTGATACTAACAATAATTTCTAAAGCCCATCAACATGAATTTCCTTACAGTTTCTACATGAAAGTTTCCTAAGACCTGTAAAATACCTGGAATCAAGGCACTGCCATTCCAATTCACAGACATCAGAGCTGGTACATAAAACCAGAGAGGCGAAAATGAGGTCCTACAGGTGGGGAGGAATTCCCCCAACCCCATTCTGCTTTAGGACAGCTTCTGCTTTATAGGATGACCTAAGAATGTGGGACATTTTGTACTTCCTATAACATAACCCAAAGAATATTACAGATATTACCAAATAATCAGAATTAGGCAAAAAGTGAACCAGTTCAGAGAGTTACAACAGTCCCACTCAAATGTGTTCAGCACCCCAAAAATCTCTTTTAACCATTTCATTTTTATATAAGTGGTGTAACGGAAAAGGACCTGAGAATTCTCACTCTTTTTTTAATACAACACTTAGTTTCAAGATTAAGACTTCTCTAGAGGGATCTCTAGAAAACTGTTGAACAACCACTCTGAGAAATACACCTTATGATCTGTGACTGAACAAAGTTATATTACTCAGAATGTAACAGGGTGGTCCCGGGAAAGGGGGAGGTTCCAGGTTTCCTGACCCACCCAAAAGGAGGGTGGAGCTGAGCAGAGAGAGAAGAAGCTGCAGAGGAGACTGAGGAAGGAGGAAGAAGGATGGATCCAGAAGGAGACCTGGAGGAGGCACATGGAGCTGAGAGACACGTGAAGAAACTGTGCTTGCCTTTTGGTCGTGGACTGGGTGACACAGATGTGGGTGAGACCCATGGGGAGTTGACAATGGCGGTTTTTGTCTTGATTTTATTTTGCTCTTTTCCTTTCAGACTTGTCTGGTTGTTTCTGACCCTTTTCTGTGGGTCCCCGCTGGAAGATGCTTTAGATTCATGGCTTTGGGGCCTTGTTCTGGGCCACTCCTGCTTGGGTGGACTTCTACCCATGAGGGGACGGGTCACTTTGGGTGCTTGATTTAGAAACTATACACTTTGCCTTTCCTGTATTGTTTCCTAATTGTATTAAAGTTCTTTCCCATTAAAGTCTCATGTTTTGTGTTGATGTGGTAGATGGCAGAACCTATTTAGAGCAGGCAGGTTGGCGGGCCCTGGGGTACCCCTCTCTCTGCCCTGTAACAAGAACATGATTCCCTGCAAACCTCCTGACTTGAGCTATAGATTATAGGTTCAGTGTGTATGCTAAACTTTCCTTCCCTTTTTGAATAACCAGAAAATTTTAGTTTGAGGTCAACAACAGGCAATGACTAAATTTCTGATAAAGACATATTTAGA